TTTTGAATCTTGACTATTTAAACTATCCATTGAGTAACAATAGATATTCCCATGCCTTCTCGTCGAAAAGGCAACAACAAACATCTCCCAAGTCACACATCACGTTGATTTTATTTGTTTCTGTGATCTCAGTAAAACTTCTAAATAAAACTCCCAGTTCATCATGGCTAAAAGTCTTCGAAGCAAGCGGAAGAGGAAGATGCGCGCCATCAAGCGAATTCGCTACGGTGAAAAAGAGCTGCAGCGGCTGAAGGAGATGGTGGCCAAAACGGAGGAGAAAGAAGCGAAAGAGTCGACCGTACTTCACAAACTCCAATCAAAATTCACCGTAACCTCCATGGACACAGACAACCAGACGCCGGACGAGTCCAAGGCAAAAGTGTCCAACACTTTGGGTGCAGCAGTGATGGAAACGGATGTTCTGGAAGCAAGTGCACACAAGAAAAAGACGATGCTCAACGCCAAAGGACAATATCCCGAGTGGATGAACTCTCGCCGTCTTAAGAAGCAAAAGGCCGTTGTGAAACGACTGAAAAATAAAAAGAAAAAGTAAATAATCTTAACTTCTGTTGATGTCGATAAAAGCAAGTGCTTCAAACTTTTTTAAACTCCATTTTTACTTCTCTGTACATGTCTTTTCTACACACCTTGTTAATAAATAAAACAAGTATTTTATTTGGATTTTAAATTTCTTTATTGTCTAGAGACTAAAATTTAATTTGATAACTTTCAAAGGGCGATTTTAAAGGGCCATGAGAATCCCCAAGAATCCAAAGAAAATCAAATTTGGTAACGTCTTCTGCGAACGGCGCAGAAAAATTGCACGTGCTGAAAAAGCTGGATTGTTGTCATTTGGATTTTATTCTGTGGCTCAGGATTCAAAAGATGACCGTTGCCGTCGAGGGAACAGCTCCTCAACTACAGTCTCCCGACATAATGGCTGAACAAGAGCAAAAGAAGAGCCCCGTCACGATTGCCCAGTTAAAGGAGCTTAGCTCGTACTTCAGCGAGCTAATTGATACAATTCCAGCAAAAGTGTACTTCTCGCAGAACTCCGATGTAATCGAGAATATTGAGGTGAACAAGCGAGCCGTCTTTGAAGACTCGAATCTCTCGAATAAGGCAAAGAACAAACGGATCAAACTTGACCCGACGCAATATCAAAAAGTGTCCGATGTGGCGAATGCATTTCACGAGAAGAAAAAGGCCGAAAACAAAATGGGCGAATTGAAGAAGAAGCTGGCTAAACGAATCAAAGAACTGCGTGCAGCCAGAGGCGCAAATGAGCCAGAAAAGAAAAACCGAAAACGTTCCGCTTCTGAGAGTAGCGTTAATGGATCGGTCACCTCAAATGGAAAGTCTGATAGTCCTTCCACGAAGATACCTAAAATATACAACAAAGAAGGTAATGTTTATTATTTGACAGAATGACCTTGATCTAACTGAAACATTTTCTTAAACAGGAAATCTCGTTTTCTCTAAATTTGACTTTGCTTCACACGTTGATCTTGCTGCGGAGAAAGCGCTTGAAAAGTCCAAGGAGAAGAAACCATCATTGAAGGGACTCTTGTCTAAAGCAAAGAAGGAGGACGATAAAATTACCCGTCTAGAGCAGACCAACCAGACTGCGGCCACTAAACTGAAGGAGAAGAAAATGTGGCAGAGCGCTTTGGAGAAGGCTGAGGGCAACAAGGTGAAAGACAATCCTAAACTGCTTGAAAAGGCACTCAGCGTCAGGAAAAAGCTAAAGGTTAAGCACGCCAAAGCTTGGGAAGAGCGAAAGAATAATGTGGAAAGCCGTATGAAAAAGAAGCAAGAACGCCGACGTAAAAACCTTGATGACCGAAAACAGAAAAAGCAGAGCAAGAAGCTAAAGTTTCTCAAGAAAAAGGGGCGAATTCCTGACTAGGTAAAATGTGTTCATGACTGTTTTAATGTTTTATGTACAATATGCTTTTTCAAATACAAATCACATGGTTTTACTGACAAGTGGAGCGCTAACCACCAGTCGTTAGTCTGTCTTTTGCTGTTTGTTACTTTTGTAAGCTCTCATCTGCACGATGGAGAAGATGACGATGGCGAGAAAAAACACCGAGCCGATGGCGACTGGAATGCCCAGCACCAGGCCGATTGAGATCTTTGGGAAAAGCGATGGAATGATGTGGTCTTCATTGAGCAGCGGCACCAGGATGATCCACAAGCTGTAGTAGATGATGAAGACCGTCGTCACTGACAGTATAAAGATGCCTATCGGGCGGTCATATCCCTGCAAGGGTTAAAAAGATGAGATAATGATTCTCACTTTGCAGACAAATCTTTCTTACCGCAAATTCAATCAACATTGTACTTTGACCATACTCAAGTTGATAAGGGCGTTGATAAAGTGGTCAAAGTGGTCAGAGAGAAAGCTGGTTGACAGAAAAGATCGGCTCTTTAACAGCGGCTGCCGTCCTGAGAGAACGTACCCCGGCCGCCTTCCGTGTAAGCGCGACGCACTGCCTAATCTGCCACCTTCAAACGATGGTCGGCATTGTTCAGTCGTCGACCAACTTCTCGTGCAGCAGCAGCAGCAGCTTTGCCGGCAACGTGCTTCCACTCACTCTCGCCTGTCTCCTCTCCGCCGTCTGCCTCGCCACCGACGCTCCTCTTCAGCACACCCAACCACCAAACACTCCCTACCGAACAATGGCCGCCGCTAACCAGGAACGAACCTTCATCATGGTGAAGCCCGACGGTGTCCAGCGTGGACTGGTCGGCGAGATCATCAAGCGCTTCGAGGTGAAGGGCTTCAAGCTGGTCGCCCTCAAGTTCCAGCAGGCGAGCGAGGAGCTGCTGAAGAAGCACTACGCCGACCTGGCCGGCCGCCCTTTCTTCCCCAGCCTCATCAACTACATGCAGATGGGCCCCGTCGTGCCCATGGTCTGGGAGGGCCTGGGTGTGGTCAAGACCGGCCGTGTGATGCTCGGCGAGACCAACCCCGCCGACTCGAAGCCCGGCAGCATTCGCGGCGACTTCTGCATCCAGACTGGCCGCAACATCATCCACGGCAGCGACAGCGTCGAGTCCGCCAACAAGGAGATCGCCCTCTGGTTCAAGCCCGAGGAGCTGACCAAGTACAAGCCCGCCCAGTACGAGTGGGTCTACGAGAACTAGAACTGCAGCTTGCACAGCACTCGCACTTCTAGATTCTAGAACCACCTGCTTTTTTCCAAATCATGTACCGCATCAGCAAGTACAAATAAAAAGTAATACTGTCTTTAAGTAAAGGATGTCTATTGATTGATTGGGTGATTGAGTGACGGGCTTTGAGACAGTTCCACTGGCAAATGCCACTGGCGCACAGACGCAGCACATTGTCATTAGGTAGTGTCATTAGGCAGTGACCTTGAGCACTTGTCAGTCGCATTGAGCACTCTCCGCGACCGTCGCCGTCTCCGTTCCAGCTCATACGTGTGTACTTATCAACGCCAGTCTGTACGTGCAACTGCTGTCGTAGTGCGAGTACTCATGTAGATGTCGACGTAACTGCTCATTGCTAGACTTCTCCACAGATCGAATGAGCTTCTCCAGTTTCCACTTGGTGGTCGTGCCTGTCTTCTTCGCATCAGTCTCGCCACTACTGCCAGTAGCAGCATTAGCTTCCTCAAGCACCCTCGCCTTGATGGGTGAGCTCTCTCGAAAGAGAGCATGGCTCAGGTGGTGAATGAGCATGCAGTACAGTACCGGACAGGCTCTCGGGTTCAGCAGCTCACAGAGCAGCGTCCTCAGGTAGATTTCCAGCGTTTCGAGGTTACTTTCCAGCGGAAAGAGCAAACTCTCCATTGGCAGTAGTAGCTGCACGTATAAATAATAGTGTTAGAAAAATTAGAACTGACTGTGTCAGAGATAAAGCTCTTACCTGTTCAAAGTTTAGAAGCACCACTCGAATCACCGAAGAGTGCTCAGATAGGAAGAAATTGCGAAAATATGTAGAGCACTTTGGTTGAAAGAACACCAGCAGGTAGTTGCAAAAGACGGGATCGCCATAGGAGCAGTTCTCAAACTGGTCGACAAACTTGCCAAAACTACATAAATGAAAAAAAGTACCAGCTTGAGAAATGACAGTGGTCAGGCTCAACTTACAAGTCAACGACATTTCCATATCCAGGAATGGTGTCTCCGTTGGAGCAGACAATTCCGTCCTCTGTCTGAAGCATACTCTGCAGAAACCTTTTCAGTAGCGCCTGAATGTGCTCATTGAAGAAGTGGCCATCATCCACAAGAAAGACGGAGGAAATGAACAGGAAGAGGCTGCTATTGGAGATGCTATTCCGCGGCAGGTGCTCCGGAAAGAGACGGGTCACCAGGTGGATAAACTGCAGACAGGACAGCAGCTCCTCCAGCTCAATGTTCATCTGTGCATCAGAAGCGGCCTTGGCCAGCAGCGGGTGAAAGAGCCAGTAGTGCGTTTCAAAGCGAGAGAAGCCCCGGTAAACATCTCGAAATGCGGTAAACTGCGCCTCGGAGTAGGCGGCTTCAGTGGATGGTGAGAGTGTGGCGTAGAGCTGGTGGTTGAAGAGAACCTGCTCGACGATCTGCCTCTTGATGGCATTCGTGTTGAGAATGTTCAGGTGCAGTGCAAAGCGAAGCGCCGCTCTGCAGGCTTCAGGCCTGCCGCCCTGGCCATCAGCGGCACTGTGCTTGGCAATGAGCAGACACGCCTGCGAGACAATGTTAATCTCAATCAGGTCGAAGATGTTGGAAGCAAAGTCGCGGCTGATGTTGGCCGTCACCAGGGCGATGTACTCGCTCAGACGGGAGATCACCTTGCTGCTGGCAGTGTAGGTAGTAGTCGTCGGTGGCAGACTGGAGGCGACGCGAACCAGTGCGTTCAGCAGACAAATGGGCGAGTCCGCATTGAGCAGTGGCACACTTCGAGCGCCCTTGAAGTAGATGGCCCCGAAGGAGGGGTGATTCGCCGAGTCGCGCAGTGTCCCCTGTGTCTCCTGCTTCAGTGTGGCGGTGTTCGAGTTGCCTCGGCACAGCTCAAACAGCCGCCCGCCAAATCGGTCATTTTCGCAGAACAAACTGACAAAGGCCAGCCGGAGAAAAGCGTCATCGAGCTGTCGGTGCTTGAGAATAAACTCCGTCAGCACTAGAAGACACGTGCAGGTGTCGAAGTCAGGTACGATGCTGTCGGCGTTGATCAGCGTCAGCCACCGCATGGCAATGTCAAAGAGATCAAAGGAGTACACGGGGGCGAGTTCATTCGCCTGACCGAGTATTTCGTGGTACATCTTCACCAGAGTAAAGATACACGAAGCAAACTGAAAGTCAAACGTAGAACGGCGGTGATCACTTTCAGCCGGTTTCAAACTTTTGCAAAAGTTTAAAATTTTCACAAAAAACGGGAACATTTGTCGAAAGTTGTTCTTCAGCACGTCGAGGAAGGCGTGATTGTACCGTGGCGAGACGAAACTGAGCAGCTTCAGCCACGTTCGAAGCGACTCGATGCTAATTTGAAGCAGTGCTCGACTGGTGGTGCTCTGTGACACATCTTCAGGATTGAGAGACAGCGAGAGATTCAGCGAGTCGATGAAGGCGATGTCATTGAAGCGGTCAAAGAGGCGAATCAGGGATGAGGGCAAAGCGGCGTCGGCGCCAGTGTCCGACTTAATGGAGGAGATGCAAACTCGCAGCAGCTTAAACGCCTTGCAGTGCATCAGTCGGCACTGGCCCATTAGTACGCTTCGATTGATCAATTGCGAGCTGAGGGCATCAATCAGATTGGACTGGAGAATCGCCTCCGCCGCCGCCTTAGAGTGACGGCCCATGCGAATGAGAATGTCCAAAATTTCCTCCACAAAGACGACGTCCTCCGAGGCGTGCACAAAACTGTTGATGAGGTAGGCGAATCGCTGCAGAATGGACGTGCGAGTGAGCAGGCAGCCGACCAGGTCGTACATCGCATACTGCTCATCGGTCACCTTCTCGTCAATCTCCACGTCGCCTTCAAGAAGGGGCAGCAGCTTCAGGTCGATTCGGTAACCATAGCCCAGGTAGTCCTCAAAGAGAAGGTAGCCTCGGTCGAGAAACAGCTCATCGTAGAGGGTGTTGCAGAGGAGGGCTTTCAGGGTGCTGATGGCACACTTCCAAATGGTTTCCCCGGTGTCGTCGAGGCAGGTGCGCACCACCAGCACAAGTGGCGTGTCCTTCAGCAGATACTCCGTCAGGTTGGCGTTAAAGACGGCGTCATACACTCCTAAGTGGGCCTTGCTGATGATCTTCTCAAAGACCTTCAGGGCGATTTGCTTCTGCGACGGAAAGGAACTTTGAAGGTACATGAACAGCTCGTTCACCGTGTAGCCCGGTCGGTCAGCCTCATCGCCGTGGTGGTGCAGACCTTCGTGGACATCAATTTCCTCGGCTTTCTCCGGGTCAATCAGATCGCCCTCAAAGTTGAATCGGGCGGAAAACTCTATAGAGCCTTTGGAGTCCTTCACGTCGCCTTTCTTTGGAATATCGCCTAGCCAGCTGAGTTTTTCCTTTTCAATAACAGACATATTGGCGTACTTTTTTGTTTGCACCTCTTCGATTGGAATGGCCAACTTTTCGCTAACAACATCTTCAACTTTTGATTTTTCATTTGTCAACTTTTCGGTAGATTTTTCAATCTCTTCCCTTTCCTTCTGTTCACTTTCTTTGATGACATCGGAACGATATTTAAATTGTTTGCTCTGCAAAAAAGCTACCGTTTTGGGATTTAATTTTTGAAGCAGTTCAGCTCGTTTGGCTTCAATTTCCTCAACGCTCATACTGTCAATAAGTTGTTTATTTTGATGTTTAATTTCTGAGATTTCTCTCTTCCAACTTTTGCTGCCTAGGCCTGTTCCAGTAACAATACTGAAATCCTCATCAGGAGTGACAGCTTGAGCCGCCGGTGCAGATTTTTTCATGTACTTTTGTGCATAAAGACTAGGTCCACGAGTTGAAGTGGTTGTCCTTTTCAGCGACAAATTTTCAGCCACTGGAAATCCATTTTCACTTGTAGCTATGTCAGAACTGCGATTGACATACATCATTGAATACTCTGGATTATGGCTCAAATCACGCTCCACAATTTGTATGTTAAAATCAAAATTTAATGCTGTTGGTGTTGCTGTTTCTGGAGCGGACGTACATTCTTTTTTATCGGTTGAATTCGGTTTTGATTGATCAGTTGTTGGCGGCTTTGAAGTGCTATTGTTGTTGCCATTTGTTTTCTTTTGCCACAAAAATTCCTCTTGCTGACGCAACAACGCATCCTCATCCTCATCTTTTGTGGGCCTTTTAGAGAACATCTTTAAGGTATTCCTAAAAAGAAAAAGAATAGTAAGAACTCAAAATGAGATTCATCATTCAACACTCACGCAGTCACATGGCCAAAATTACGAATTTTCAACAAAAAATCAAAACACTGCACTGCCCTTCAGTAGAAGACGTACACAATTTTTTGAAACCAACTGGAGTTGAATGGACTTACTGGATTTCTTCGTTTCTCTCCTCTCCTCTGTCACCTGAAAAATCTTGCTCACTCTGAGCTAGTTCAGACATCATTTTATTATTATTTTTAGAAATAAAACAGCTGTAACTGCTAACTTTATTTGCTGCAGGATCAGCCATATATCAATGGAATTCACCAGGCGATTTGAGTGACCTTTGATCACTGGGCTGACCATCACTTGTACTTCTTCTGGCGCTTGACGCCCACATCGAGGTAGTCGTAGAGGCCGCCCACCGGGACGATTCGACCGCTGATGAGGAAGCCGACGAATGAGCGAAGCACGGCGCCGCCGACCAGCACCAGGGCGACATTGAGGTGGCGCATGAGAAAGCCGCTCTCACTGGAGCCGGGGAAGATGCTGGCGAGGAAGAGCAGCTGAAGGGGCAGGACGACGGCAAAGGTGAAGAGAGCGTGCGAGTGACGTCTCACCACCGACTTGAAAGTCTTCCCGGGCACCAGCTCCAGGAGGCTGTCGTGGGCCAGGCAGTACAGGGCGGCCATGCCCGTTGGCTGCTTGATGCTCTCACGAACGCTCACGGTGGACATGACAAAGCGGAGAAAGGTGGAAAACAGTTGTTATGCTGTAATCGGGAAAAAGACTACAAAGCTTTGTTTGGAAAGCAACTAAAGATGCGTCAGCTAAAAAGCTGTCGAAATTATTTCGAACATTTGGTCTTTTGGAATAGTTAGATAGATTTGTTTTATAAAAAGGCGGCTTTATTCTTCTGTTGTAAAAATAATTACAGCTGTTATATTTGCAAAAACAAAAACAAAAAAGTCCACATTGTTGATACAGGTGGTGCTTGAGAAGCAGAACTGAAGACTGGGCCGCAGACTTGATGTGGATGATCATGACTAGAGTGAACGTGTGAGTGGGGGGTAGAGCGGATTCGGGGAATGGGCAGTTAGGGAGAAGTGCAATCCTTAGTAGGCGAGCTCAGTGCCCCAAGGTCGGTAGTGCTTGACGGAGCTCTGTGCAGAGCTGCCATTTGCGCTGCCATTGAGGGCGCCATTGTTGGCTCCTCCGGGCACCCCGGGCGCGTGGTGGTGAGCGTGGTGGTGATGGTGGGCGGCGGCGTGTGAGTGCACCATGGGCGGCATGTAGCTGGCAGTGGGCGCAAAGTAGTGCGCTCCGGCGGCGGCCGCAGCATAGGGAGCGTACGAGGCGTAGCTGGAGGCCACCGCCGAGGGAAGGGCAGTGGAGGCAGTGCTGGGCAAGACCGCCCCCGAACCGGAGCTGTAGCCCGTGAAGGCGGAGGGCGACTTGGCAGAGAGACCGTTGACTACCTGCTGACCACTGCCGTTCAGCTGAGACCCAGCGGAGGAGCCCGATGAGCCACTGCTGCCGGCCATCATTGAGCTGCCGTCCAGTGAACTGTAGCCCGTTGAGCTGTTGTAGCTGGCCGAGCTGTACGCCGAGTGCTGCTGCTGCTGTGAGCTACTACCCGAAGAGGAGTTGTGCAGTAGTTGGGAGGCATCGCTTGCATTACCACTGGAGTTGTGACTAGACTGCAATTGCTGCTGCTGTTGTTGCTGCTGGTGACTACCACTGCCACTGCCGGACACAGTGGACGGCGTGGTGGAGGAGGAGGGCACTAAGGTGCCAGAGGAGGAGGCGGCAGAGCCTCCCGAGGTGGAGGCGCCAGTTCCGGTGGCCAGCGGCGGGTACATAGGCGTGGTGAAGAGGCTGGGATTCCAGCCGGTGCATGACTTGAGACTGAGCTCCCGCTGAGAGGAGTAGGTGTGCAGGTGGGTCATCAGTCGCAGGCGAAGTGGGTCCTGGAAGTCGATGCCCTCGTGGACGGCCAGGTAGCGCGCCACCTCGGTGGCCGCCTCTCGGAAGCCAATCAGGTGGTAGTCGGTGGCGAACTTGTGCGGGTCAAAGGAGAAGGCGTCGAAGCCTGAATGAGGAAGGAGAAAAGGAAGAAGAAAGAAAGGTTAGTTTGTGTGCGCTACAACAACAACAGAAAGAAACTAGTATCGTCAAGACTCATTAAGCTGACGACTGAAAGTTGTTAGTAAGGAAGAAGAAGAAGAAAAGGTGTCAGAGCAAGATTGCAAGCAAATCACCGTGGGAAAGAGCAGTGCTATAGTGAATCACCCGAACCAGGCACCACCGATTGGCGGCAAACACTCTTTGCCAGTGTCTATATCAGTATTGTCCTCCATTAGCCACTCTCATCTTTCGGGTAACACTGCGTCGATCTGCTTCAGTTGCGGAGAAAGAGCAAGAAAGGCCAACCAACAGAGGCGGAATAGGCATTCTTGCACCTTCTCATTCACAAGAATAAGAGCGTGATCAACACCACCACAACCAGCAGCAGCACCTCTGCTGATGATCGATTGTCCTGTGACTTGCACTGAAGAGAAGAAAGATGCACGCTGCTGCTAGTGCTAATCACGATGAAGCTCATCATCATCATCATCACCCGCAGCCTCGTAATCGGCGACCTTAGATTGCCTGTCAGTGCACAGTGCACTGCAGACAAAACAAAAACATGAATGAAAAGGAGAGAAAGAAAGATTGGAGAAGAACTAGCTGCAGAACTAGCGTCACTGGCCTGGCGATTCTGTGCGCCAAGCCAGAGGACAGGCTGCTGTTGCTGCCGCCACCGCTCTTTCTCTCATTTGCAGCTACAGTAAACAAGAGAGAACGCAAAGGAACGTCTTCTGCCGGGCGACCAGTTTGTGACCTGTCATCGCCCGACGTCTGTGCCCCCCCCCCTCTCTGTGGCTTCCTTCGCTTCTTCTCTGTTCACTCATTCACCACCGACACCGTCACCCGGCGGCCATCGCCACTCAAAGTGGTGGTGGTGATGGTACACTAGCGAGGACTAATAGGATTTCTGGTTCCCACGCTCCTGCATCAAGAACTCTCTCCCTTCTTCTTCTTCTCTAGTCAAAGGGCAACTCGGAGTGCCGAGGAAGAAGAAGAGGGGCAACTGTAGGAAGGAGCACCGAGCAGGAGAGGGAGAAGAAGTAAATGAAGTAGAAGTACTCAACAGTGGAAGAGGACAGAAGGGGACAACAGCAGCAACAGCAGACGTGCCAATCGACGCGCGGCGCGTTGGTCATTAAGCCATGACGATAATGACGCTCCGAGGCTCCGGTCCTTCAGCTAGCCAGTTCATCAGAGCTACAGGCTAATTTGCCTGCGCCAGCAACTATTTCACAACGAGCACACTCTTCAGCGGTGTCCAATCCTTCACTGCTGGGCAAAGTGCACTTCTGGCGAAAGTGACTTCTGTTGCCGAGGCTGACTTTGTAGCAACAATGTTGCTGCTGTGATTTCCTCTGTCAGTAGTGGCTAGGTAGTCGAGTCCACCAGCGAATGATGTCCACAACGAGCTCATCAACTTTGATAGCTCTAGCTACATAATCGGTGTGCCTGTTTGCCTCGATTGACTGACCATGAGACGATAGCTACTGCAATTAAAGACCAATTAAAGAGTCGCAGATTCACCCAAAAGAAGATCGGGGTGCAGCAGCCTAAATGGTTCATCTCCTCTACTCAAAAATTGCCTACAGCAAATGAACTAATTAAAAGTGACAGCAATAGATCAGTTGCAAGGGAATTTTGAATGATCACAGTGGTGCACTCGGCCAATTATGACAGAAAAGGAAGGGAAGTTGGCAAAGCTCAATAATCAGCAGAGCGAAAACTCAAAGTGTTCAAAATGACACTATCCAAGGGCCAGTGATAGACACTAAACCAAAAAATAATTAGCAAAATTGCTAAAATGTGAGAAAAACACATGAGCTAAGGGATGATTTGTGCACTTTTTTAAGGCCAGTCTTTCTGAAAGTTCCCCTTTATCTTGTGCTTAGTAAAAATTCAAGTGTAAAACAAAAAGTGTTTGCTGAAAAGAGTAGCTTACCTTTAGAATGCAGCATGCGAAGATGGTCAACGGTGAGCTGTAAAATTTCTGCCTTCTCTAGCTTTGCAGAGCCTTGTTTCTCAAAAGCTGCCGGAACGAGGCGTTTCAGTTCGTGGAGGGAGTTGTTGATGCGGTCTCGACGACGCTTCTCAATCAGACCGCGGCGTTTCTTGCGACTCATCAGGTGACAGTTGCCCTCCATGTTGCTGTCTGCCAGCTGCAAACTGTTATTAAGAAAAACAAAAAAGAATGAAGTTTAGTTGAAGATGATGTGATTGATCAATAGTAGAAATGCTGGAAAAGCAAAAAAAGCACACCAGTGCTAACCTAAACTTGTCGTGAAAGGACGCCGACGAGGAGATAGACGGACAGTGGGTGACAATGGGCAAAGTCGGCGATGACTGCAAGCCCATGTTGGGCGTATTTGCCGTCATCGACCGTCGCCACATTCTTCAGCAGTATTATAACAGGTAGGTCGCTTCACTGATTAGCTGTTCAGCTGTGATCAAGTGACCAAAGTGGGCGATAAACCTGTGAAGGCACGTGTGAGTCTGTGNGAGATAGACGGACAGTGGGTGACAATGGGCAAAGTCGGCGATGACTGCAAGCCCATGTTGGGCGTATTTGCCGTCATCGACCGTCGCCACATTCTTCAGCAGTATTATAACAGGTAGGTCGCTTCACTGATTAGCTGTTCAGCTGTGATCAAGTGACCAAAGTGGGCGATAAACCTGTGAAGGCACGTGTGAGTCTGTGAGTGACACAGAAACCCACATCGACAACACTTGAAAAGTGCCTGCTGCCTGGCGTGACACGCGTCCGTCTTAAGGAAGTGAGGCTGTGATAGCGATGGTGATGCACCAGCACTACTAGGAAGTGATGCAATTTGTCATGGCAAATCAGTGTTGCAGCAGCAGCAACAGTATCAGCGCGACTGCAAGCCACACGCCCGGACACGTCGGACACACTGGGCGACACTGGGCGACGATCGTGGTTTGGGTGATGGCTAGTAGTCTTAAGATTTAGCAGCTCACTACCACAGATGGAGAGGCATAAGGTGATGCAACCGCTCGGCCACAAGATCGACACGAGACTGACGTACGCCCGGACGGACGGACGATGCTCCAGCAGAGGTGGGCACGGTCCACGGCCTTTTTCTCTTGGCTGTCTTTCTGGTTGCATCCACTCTCTCTCTCTCTCTTTCTCTCTGTCACGTGCCTGTCACTGTGTGCAAACATGCCCTATCTTGCCAGCAGATATGAACTTACCTCTTGTGGTCCATCTCATCGTCGGTGGAGTCGTCGCTGATGGAGCGCTTACAGGGGCGAATCGGTGTGGGCACGGCAAGTCCACTGCCACTGGCGGACAGACCTAGGCCCAGGCCACTGCTGGAGCCACTGGGAGGCATTGCTCCGGCGAGTGGGGTACTGCTGCTGAAGAGCTGCGTCATGCTGCCCGGGGTGGCCGGCGAGTGGTGGCCCAGCTGAGAGCCGTACATTTGGTGGGGGTACATCATTGCCCGAAGTGAAGATAAGGAGGGATGAAGCACAAGGCAAGGCAGAGGAACAGAAATAGTTCAAGTTCAGCAGATATATGGAGAGATGATAAGGAAGGAAGGAGAGAAGTTGTGCTGAAGTTGACAAAGTTCCAAAGACCGTCGGTCGGACCGAGTGGCGATCACGTGGCTGACAGACGTCGTCGTCGTCGACTGCTCGTGAGGAGGTCGTCAGTGCGAGTGAGCGTGGGCCACGGTCGTCGGCGTCTATTTACATGCCGCACTGGCCTGACATGTGCCCTGGCCTAGCTGGCAGTGGTAGTGGTGCTAGTGCCAGTGCTAGTGCCAGTGTCGCACGCGCGCGGAAGTGTGCAGCCGACGGTGCATCAGCATCAGCATCAGTCGGGCAGTATGACCCGAACTCCGTGGGTCGCGTGTGCTCTGTTCAGCAGACAGTTCGGCTGACTCTACTGCAGAAGAAGATTGGCTCGTGCAGTGCCAGTGCCAGTGGGTGCTATTGTGCCCCATTCATTCTGTTTTGAAAGAGTGAGAGAGGGAGAACGGGAAAGAGAAGCCAAAAGGCGGGCACTAATGCTGGCGGCGAACCAATGGAAGGAAGAAGCCGAGTGACTGAAGCTGCTCTTGTACTCTTGTAGTCTGCTTCTCACTGCTCTGGCCGGTCAGTGGAGGATCCCTCTCGCGCAGACAGCGTGGGAAAGTGCGACAGAGTGGGAGAGAGAGAANAGCCGAGTGACTGAAGCTGCTCTTGTACTCTTGTAGTCTGCTTCTCACTGCTCTGGCCGGTCGGTAGAGGATCCCTCTCGCGCAGACAGCGTGGGAAAGTGCGACAGAGTGGGAGAGAGAGAAGGAGTGGGAGAGAATCCTCGCTAATGCTAACTAGAGTGCGAATGAGAGGAGAAGGCTGATGCCGAGAATGTTGCGGCCGGCTAGTTTAGCTGTGGTGATGTGAATTGGGAGCTGAGTTTAAATGGCTCAAGTGAAAGTGCATACGCACTGGGTGATGATGATCTTCACTGTCAAAGGCAGTGAATGTGTGTATTCTTAGAAAAAGGTGTAGATTGAGGTGCTTCCACATCTCGGAAAGCATCATCTTCTTAGTTTTTTCAAAAGTAAAAGCAGTAAAATGGAGAAAAGAACTCGCAGCACAGTTTTTGTCCGATTCAATTATAATCTTTTTCTCCCTCTGCCCATTTCGACATTACGTCATTCACGGGACAAATTAGCACTTGCACGTGTCTTGGCTGCAGTCTTGGAGGGGGAAAGGAAGAGATAGAGATAGGTGGGAAGGTCGCAAACGACTGCCACTCGACAAACTGGACAGAAGTGCTGGAGAAGTGGTGAAGCCTCAATTGGCAAGGCCATCAAGGCCATCAGATGCCCTGGAAGGCTGCTCTCTGGTTGCCTTAGCCACCGCCACCGTTCTGCCTGCTGACTGTGATCCCCCGGCGCCAGATGAAGCAGCACAGCATCTCCTGGCAATCTGGTGCACCCAGCAGCAACAACAGCAGCGCAGCAGTGCTCACCCTCCTTGCCGACTAATTCAATTTGTAGTTAGTCAGTGGAGTCCCGATGGAGACACCGAGACACACTTCCGTTCATTCATCATCATCCTCCATCTCCTTCAAAGTCACGCGCCCAAACCGAGACAAGGCATGTGTGTTTGTGTGTGTTGTTGTAAACAAGTACATGACATGACTTGGGTTCTGGTGGTGAGAGCCAGAACATGAGTTTTTATCACTCCTGGACATTGTCGACATAGTCCCAATTGACTTGCTTGCCTTTTNCTCCATCTCCTTCAAAGTCACGCGCCCAAACCGAGACAAGGCATGTGTGTGTTTGTGTGTGTTGTTGTAAACAAGTACATGACATGACTTGGGTTCTGATGAATGGGTTCTGGTGGTGAGAGCCAGAACATGAGTTTTTATCACTCCTGGACATTGTCGACATAGTCCAATTGACTTGCCATCCTTCCTGATGCACAGTCGGTTTTTATTAATAAACCTACAAACCAATTTGACAATCTAACCATCACCATCAATGAGCAACTTTAATTACACTTTGCAAGTGGCTACTTTAAAAAACTAAACTAAAAGTTTTCCTCTCATCTTTATTAAAACTTAGCCCCGCACTACATCAATCGAGGCTAATCTCGTTACAGTTTAATATAAACGCTACTGCAACTAAAGTTGAGAAAGAAGAAAGACAAGGCAAATAGGGAGAAAATTCAATATCACTAAAGCTGGTGATGCTGTTGCTGCTGCGCTTGGGCAAAACTAAATTGTTGACCAAAGAGCTTTTTCAAGTGTGCCCTAGTGTGGTACTTGCGAAACACTTGGCACACTAGGCAGTGTAGCTGATGTCGGTCTGCCGTTGTCTGCAAAAACCTGCCGCCAGTACCGTTTCTTTTCACCAAAAAGCATCCCATTTTCTTACCTACTTCAGAAGGTTTCCGTTCCACTTTCTCGAGAGAGTGCCACGAGTCTACCTGTGTGTGTCTGTGCCTTATGCAACGGTGTCTTTGTGTCCACGGTGTCTCCTGCTGCTGTAGTCAGTCAGTCAGTCAGTCAGATGGCATGTGGTCGGACACGAGCCATTGGCACCCAGGGCACCGTGACACAGAGAGAGTGCCTGCGTCTGTCTGACTGTCTGCAGAAAGTAGGGTCGAGTAGAAACACATGTCCGCAAGAGCCCGTCTCCGCCAAATGTTTCCGCTACCGAACAATGAGACCGATTGCCGAGCGGTTGACGATGAGGAGGATTGTTTTGCACCCTTAGCCCCTACTGCACTTGGCCCAGGACTCTGTGTGTGTGTTGGCATGTGCAGAAGGTAGTGGGTGGTGGAAGGAACAGAGGAAAAAGGCACCGCTCTTTAAAATCGGACTTTTCCTGCTACTGCTGCTACTGCTGCTGACTGATGATGATCTCTGACCTACATGCACGCGACGAGGTGGCCTACTGCTTCTGATAGCACCGAGAGTCCAAGAAGGAGAGCAGAAAGGAAAGGAAGAAAAGAGCACAAGGGCTAGAAAAGTGGCGGCTGCTGCATGCATTCCACAACCATCACTACTACTGTGGTGGTGACACAACAAGCGCACTGCTTCAGTGCTGCTGCAACCAAATCCTGCAAATTAGCTGCAGATGCACAGACTCTGCAAGCTGCAACGGGCAGACCCCAGCACTAATCACCAACAACACCAACAGGCTGCATAACTGCATACAGTCTGAAATCGATAGTGATTGAACAATGGTTGCAGAAAAAGCAGAAGCGGACGTCATTTGGCGGAACACCTGAACTGCACCGGGCCGGTTTAGCGATTTGAATCACATTTTTTACAAAACAAAAATGAAATGACACTGAGTTTGCTTGAAAAATAAAAATGAAAAAACACTTTTTCTTGCCTTTCTCACACAGAAAACCTGACAACTTGGCACTTGCAAACTAAAATCCACTTTGCCCACACTCAACTCTTCAACTGCTGCTTAGCTACTAATGAAAATTTATCATCTCAAGTCTGCGATAATTAAATTAGGCAAACTCAACCAGAATTTCCCAGAAGTCGACAATTGGGGAACTCGTGAACGCCTGTGTGTGAGAGTGAGCGTGTGTGTGCCCGTCTTTGGAGCACTTTGTAATCCGAGCGACCACTGGAGCGACTTGAGAACTCGAGCAAAAGCCAGTTCTCACCGAAGTTGCACCGAGCACCGAGCAAACAGCAGACAGCAGAACCAGAGGAGCCAGTGAGTGACTCTTGGGCCAATTGATCCAATTGGAGCAGAGTGGCTGGCGCGCGAGCAAGAGAGAGAGAGAGAAAGAGAGCGTAGTGGCTGGGAACGTGTGTCTCGTTCTGTTCCCATGACTGGCGCACAGTGACTTGGGCCCATTTAGGCAAGCAGAGCGCATCGACTGACGCGTGCTGCCTCAGAGGGAATGAAAGAGAGAGAGGAGAGAGGGCATTAAGCACTGCAGCAGGACCATGTGCCAACATGTTCCAGCGAGGAAAGTTAGCATGTTTGATGGGACAGAGCTAGTAATAAGCAGTTAAGGACACCTTGCATAAACAACTTGCCGTTCTCACCAAAATCAGCAGAAATGATAGTCACTGCCTTATTTCTTGATACGATATGGCTTCGATATGAGGATTCTGGTCAATACGAAATGTTTTAGGAAGCAGCAGAAACCTCTTTGCTTCTAACGACAGTCATGTCTGTCTGTAGAGCTGCTGTTGGCTCATTTAAATTGTTGGCAGCATCAATTGCAATTGGTCCTTTCTTCCGCTGTTAAAATTAATTAGTGTGCTTTAATTGATTTGACAGCAGTGCTGTGCCTTTGCTGTCGCTGGTGCTCACCACCAAAACGAACCGGTAATTGCCGATGGTTGTCGTTGGCGGTGTTGCAGGTGCAGGAAACGAGTGCTTGCGGTTGTGAAGGCCTTCTGGACGGGCCGACTGGAGCAATTAGACGCAAGAGAGTTGTGGTCCTTTTGGAGAATGGAATGCCCGTCTGTCGGAGTGTGTGTGTGAGTGAGTGACAAAGGTAGTGACAGTTGCGTGACAGAAAATTGAAGAGAGTTGACTACCTCGTAACTGTGCGCTTCACTATTCTCTCTTTCTCCTTAGTGCACGATGCATCAGTGATGGCAGTGATGACGATGGCAACCAGGTGACTTACGTGAAGGCTATTTCTCGTCAACCTTACATCCTCCCCCTCATTTCCGATTCATCCACTGGGAGACCACAAAAACAACGACCAAGAGAACAGACATCAGTTAGCAGCAGCAGTCAACGTTCATTGGCTGAGAGCAAGTTACGGCAAGATTGAACACCGATTCAATTGATGCCCAATCCCGATTTAGTGCCTGCACTCTTAATTGGTAAACACTGGCCAGGGTAGACACAACAAAATGGGCGAGGAGGAGCAAAGTAAAAAGCTGCAGTCAAACTGCAGCAAATGCTCCGGCAGTGCTCAAACAATGAATCGCCAATTGACGTTCATTGACTGCTGCTGCTGCTTCTGGTAGCACAACTAGTGGCAATCAATCACGCCCGACAAATGGTCACAGCCAGTGGGGACTTGTTTACAGTGCAGACAGTGCACTACCGCAGATGCAGTGAACACTGCTCTACCCGGCCTGACTTCTTCATCAGTAGAGGACCGCAGTGGACAAACTGCTGCTGTTGCTGTTGTTCACTTGATTAGCCAGTGGTTGCTGCAGCGTCAAACAAATTGAAAACTTTAAAATTTTCACTTTTGCAAAACATGGTCAAAAATGAGTGGATGATGCACTACAGACAAACACAAAAACTTCAATCGATCAAAAATGCAGTAGCAAAATGCAAAATGTGAAAATTAAATTCACACGAGCCAAGTGCACCAAGGAGAAGAAATGATCGATCAGCAGTGATGGTGGCGGCAGTGACGGGCACTGGTAGTTCACTTCTTAGTGGACTCCAGGACAGTGCCTCCTACCGCAATGTGAATTACCGTCTTGGGAATTGTGAACTTCAATCGGCGCTGAAGTGCTGGCCAAGGAACATCAAAGGACGATCAGCAGTGGCAGTGACCGATAAACAGATCGTTCACTCCACTCACGTGGAGTAGTGAGACCCATTTGTTTTGCATTGCCCACTAATGAGTAACTAACAAACTGCTTCTCGCCAGACGACAACCAGCAGTAGCAGTCATTGATAAATTCTCAACCACCGTCCTAACTAGGCTGCCCCCTTGCATAACGACTGCACGACAAGTCTATTGTGAGGCCAAAAAAGCAGACTGACAGAAGGAGACAGACAGACAGACAGAGAGACTGAGGGACAGACAGGTCACATTATTTATCGGCAAATTACCATGTCGTAAAAAGCAAACAAACATCAACACAGTCACAGTCACAGTCATAGCGTTCAACAGCAGGCCCACTGACCTGTGCGCGATGCTGCTGCTGCTGCAGTTGATGAGGATGACAAAGCACTAGAGAGTTGCACATTGCCCACTTCACCGGTGGTGGTGGCAATGTTGTTCCAAAAGCAGCAGCAGCTCACACACGTTCACATGCTCACCGGTGGTCAGCCACTGCTGGCCAGAGGGGATGGCCAGCAACACCAGCAGCAGCAGGCAGGCAATTCCGCTGAGAACAATAAAAAACAGCCGACGTCAAACGCAAAAGCCGAAATGGGCAATCAGGTAGGGACTGTGCCCTGTGTGAATAGCAAAGTAGTGCTGCCTGTCCGTGAGAAGCCTGAGCGAGAGAAAGTTACCTCCTAGGACCGTTAAGTGAAATTCGAACAACGGCCAACAGCAACAACACAGCGACACCTCGCAGTTGAGAAGCAAACTGCTTTGTCATCGTCATCATAGTTTACAAATAATATGCTTTGTATTATTTCACTTGGTCAATGTAGAAAACAGCGATGAGAATTGATAGGGAAAGAAAGTACTTAGGGGTAAAGTGGTGATTGCAAAGTGATGGGTCAATGGACAGTAACAGAAAAATAAAGGTAATCAATAGTAGTTGCAGTTGTAGTAGTAGTAGTAGCATTAGTTTGTAATACTTCAACAAAACACACTACCAGTCAGCGGTAGACAAGTAACAAATCAAACAAAAAATAATTGCATAGAAGAGGATTCAACAAGAGGTGAACGGGGTATGAACGGGTATGGGGTGGGCGGGTGTGTGCAGTTGTTCTCTAATGATATCTCAGATGTTGATCGCACTGAGCAGCTTCTTCAGACAGTCCCTCGCCGCAGAGTCGGGAAAGTGATTTAGGTTGGTGAAGGCATTAGCGCGAAACATCTCCAGGACGGTCTTCGACTTCACCAGACCAGGCCCTGAGCGGACGAGCTGGTGCAGCGCCGAGTAGTCGTACTTCGGCAGCTTTGGACCTTGCTGTTCACCGCCGGTGAGCGCCAGGTGCTCCAGCGGTTCGCCCGTCTCTACCGAGTGCATCACCACGGGCAGGGCGCAAAAGTCCAGGTAGTCGCGGCTGTTGGCTCGCGGATTCAGGTACCAGTTGATCTCCTGGTGCGCCTTGAGGAAGTAACCCAGGTTCTGCCCAAACTGGTAGGCGGCCGTCTGGAGGCCCTCGTCGGCGGCGGCCAACTTGAGCACTGACTTGCAGCCAAACGCAGGCAGACAGGCGGAGAGGAGAAAGTTCTTCTCGAGCCAGTACTCCAGATTGAGCTTGCTGGTCACCTCCACCAGCTCCTGCTCAGAGACAAACTGCCCCTGGGTGGTGTTCACCAGCACCGAGACCATCATGTCGGTGACCTCGATCTGGTGCAGATCGGCCAGGTCCTTCCACGCCTTCGCCCAGAGAAAGTCCCCGTAGAGGACAGAGACCTTGTTGCTGAGGTGCAGTGCAGAGCCCTCTGCCGTCTGCGTGATGGCCGCCGAGTCGATGTTGCAGATCTCCCGGTGGATGATCATCGCCATGTTGATCATCTCCACTACTTTGGAGAGCACTAGCTGACTCTGCCACAGGGTGGCCGCCTTTGCCTTTCGCTTCTCCTCTCCTTCGACGACTCCTTCTTCGGTGACAGGAGGGGCACCGGTGGCGGCTGCGGCTCCTGCCTTGCTGATCAACAGCACCGACAGTCCTCGAATCAGCTGATCGGAGTGGTGGCCATTTTGGTAGAGTCTGGTAAAGGGTTGAGGGTTAGTGAAACGAGGTAGAAGCAAAAGAAGCAAATGTACTTACTTTTCCACCTCCAAGAGCGAATGGCTAGTGCCGACCAGTTTGTGGAGAATCTGCGTTACCACGGCCACCTCCTCTGCGAGGACGTGCTGCAGACTGTGCGTCCTGGTGGCTGAGTTGCCCACTATCTGGTCGGCCAGCGCCAGGGCGCGTTCCATCTCCGGGGAGAGGGGCAGAGGAGAGGCGGTGGCACCCTCTGCGGACACTCCATCAGGTCGGGCGGTGGCCGCGGTGGCCAGTGGACGTCCGGTGAAGTTAGGTCTGGAGACATTCTTCCATCTGCTGGTGCTGCTGGAGACGTTCACTCTGCTGGTGCCATGTCGTGCCAGTGAGGAGACGAGCCGGTACACTGTTCGCATGTTCCCTCCGCGTCCACTAGTTTTCTTCACTCCTCTCAGTTCACAGCACCACCAGTGGTCTGGTCGTCAGGCTGGTCACGGGGTACTCGGGTGAGGGGGCGCTCTGGGGCGCAAATCTGTGAGAGGCACAAAAGCAACAACAAGAGAATGAAACAAACAAACAAACAAACAAAATCAGTGATGATAAAAGCAATGCGTTTTGTTGGCAAACGTCAACAGTGAGGCACAACTGGCAAGTGCTGCTGCTGCTGCTGCTGCTGCTGCAAGCGATGCTGAGATGGCGGTAGGCCAGTAGAGCGAGGATGCTCCTGCTTCAGACGCCGCTGACCGTTATCTGCAACACTGCCGCTCACCAGTCCAAGTGTACACAGACACACACACACACACACTCTCCGACTCATACATTATTCCGCGGAAAGTGGGTCAAACGGTAAGAAAAAAAGTTGGCAGGGCAAACNGCGAGGATGCTCCTGCTTCAGACGCCGCTGACCGTTATCTGCAACACTGCTGCTCAACAGTCCAAGTGTACACAGGCACACACACACACACTCTCCGACTCATACATTATTCCGCGGAAAGTGGGTCAAACGGTAAGAAAAAAGTTGGCAGGGCAAACAAGTGCCACCACCACCGCCGGACAATGGAGCAGCCGCCTCTGACCTGTCTGACTGCTTCTGTACATCCTCTTACGTCTGCGGCGTTCGATGCTGCCCTCAGAACGCATCACAGCGCCCGACGACGTACGACGACGGCGACGATGGCAGACTCGTTTGAGGTAGTCCGCTGGCATGCGGCAAGAGCGGTAAATAGCACAAACACACGGGCTTACACTTGTTGACTGCTGGGCTGCTATCTCTCAACTATCAAAGAGAAATATTCAGCTCTCTCTCTCTCTCTCTCTCTCTCTCCCGGCAAGCACCATCGTGGGTATCTGTGTCAATGGTCCTGCAGGGACTTTCCTTCAAACTAGCAGGCTGCATAACCCTGGCGCAAAAATGGTGCGAGAGAAGAGGAGAGAAGAGAGCAAACTAGTCAGCTAATCAGCAGCAGCTAAGTGAATAAGGAAAAAATAAAATCGCACCCTTTATTATTATTTCCACATTATTCACCGAGTGGTAAAAAAGATGGTAAAATCATTCAAGCGAACGTAGTTAGTAGTAGTAGTGAAGGTGAAGGTGGTGGTAGTAGTAGTATGCGTTAAATTAATGTGCAGTTTGCACGAGCTTGAGCTTCCCTACGAGAGAACTTGGTAGTAAGAACACACATTCACATGGGAGAAAGGGTGAGCGAGAGAATGAAAGCGGTTGTTTAGAGTAGGCAAAGGTCGCTTCAGTGAATCAGTTTCTTGTACTTGCGAAAGATCTTCCTGGCCAGAACCAAGGCAAACTCAGACTTGTACTTGGCACGGTCTCGGGCGTCCAGAGTCGGATTAACAATGATGGCACTGTGCAGGTGCTCACTGTCAAAGTAATTGTCCAACTCAGACGACTCCTTTTCACTGGCCATCACAACGGTTGGGTGCTGATAGGGTGAGTTGTGAGCCATTAGGCCCTTCAGTGCTGTCTGGTCGTGCTTGATGTTTGCAAAGTTGACGATGAGTTGGTCAAAGTCTACGATGAAGAAATACGAATGATTAGTTTTAGTTGTCAAATTGAGGAACAATCTTTGCTTACCTTTGTTCTGAAGAGCAGTGAGGTGGCTGTGAGCGTTGTACACTTTGATATCGTACGCCTTTGGTAGCAGCTTCTGAACGTGCTTCACCAGAAGATCGATCGGCTCGGTTCGGTTTTCATCATTGCAGGCAGAAATGAAAACGTACTGAATCTTGAAGAAGGCCTGCGTTTGCTCGATGAGCTGGCTCGTCTTTAGCTCCAGTTCCGAAGAGTTGGTGATGCCGTGTGGAACGCAGAGGAAGAGACACGATTTGGTGGCGACGATAGGATTGTACCAGCGCTGGAAGGCCTTTCGGAACACTTCACTGTTCATCTTGCCATCACCGACAATGTCCAGGTACTCAAACAGCTTCTTGACGGCGCTCGGCTTCAGATAACGCTTCTCATCAGCGGCAAAGGTGGACATGAAGAAAGCGGTGAACTCGTTTTGGTCAATGGCTTGATCATTGTTGTAGTCGTACTTGGCAAAGGCCATCTGAGCGTGACTGTCATTGTGCTTTGGGATGATGACGGGAGAAGAGGAGGCAGTTTGAAGATCAGAATGCGATCCCAGAATGAGAAAGATTGCGGCTAAAACGGGCGTAAATCGTTGAAGGGTGAACATCTTGAGATGATGATGGTGATGATCACGAGTGAAGAGGGGTGAGGGAAAAGACTAGGGACAGGAGAACTTGTTCAGATGACAACAATCTCACAAATGGTGCAATCAATGCGGCAGCAATTTTTGCTTATATAGACACTTTCACTCCGAATACAGAAGACTCACTGTCATCCATCAACGACCGTGAGTAATGGTCAAAACATTGCCTGGCTTGGCTTTATCAACCACCATCATCGAGATTCAATGGTTCAAAAGGTTTACCACAGCACAGCTTTCCTTTGCCGTCGACGGTATCAACAAAAAGGTCTGATGTGGCGAGCAGAAGCAAAGCGAAGTTCATCTGGTAAGCAGCAGCAGCAGCAGACAAAACAATGCACGTGATACAAACTGGTGAATCAAGTTCACCCAAACAAAGTGCTTCAACTAATGATCAAATCCTCAGAGAAACTTACCCAAATGTTTATGTTGTTAATGCCCGCTTGCCGTTTGGCAGTGAGTGTAGGTCAGTCTGCTGCCATACAATACCAGATACTTCAAGTGAATGCTGGTGTACTCAAAACTTCAAAACCAGTGATCATCGGAAGGGATGGTGATGATGTGATAAACAAAAGGGACAACGCCGGACGACACCAAAAACACCGCAAACAAACCAACGGCGGCGCGACTTTGCGCGACAACAAAATCAGCTGGCTGGCAAGGTCACGTGCTAACATTTAGTGTCACGCTTTCGGCGGACAGTCCACCACTGGTCCGAAAGTAGCAATTTAATTTAGGATTCGCGTACTATCTCGCACATATTTTTTTTCTAATCGGATCACATTAAGTCGTCTCGAAGAGTGAATGGGGCAATAAATACGGCTCAAATGAATGAATGAATAAATAAATAAATAAGTATGCTGGTGCTCTCGATGTGCATGTTTCGATGTTTACCTAAGCTGGCAGTGATTAGGCGATCATCTCGGGATTCAGTGAACTGGGGTGAATGTCTTAGGTAGTGTGGCTCTTTGATCTCTCTATCGGTGGTACTTCAACACTCTCGAGAAGACATGTCCTAGATTGACAAAGTTTCGCGCCGTAAAGTCCTTGGCGTACTCGCTGAATGATTTGCCAAATCCCTCAATTGATTCGCGTATCTTAATGCCAATCAACTCGCCGATCACCTTGGCTGCCATGCCAGCGGTGCCGTGTCGTTTGAGGTGTTTATTGCTGAAGAATCCACCGTCATCCTCGTCCATCTCGTGCGTGGTGCCTGCCAAAGAGCGTTTGAGGGGTAAAGTATTAGTACAGCTTAGCAGTTATATCTTTTATGATGACTTACCGAGAATCTTCTGCAGCAGGTACTTCTTGACGTTGTACTTCTTGAAGGCATTATTGAAGACATCATTGATGCTGTCCTCTGATGGCTTATTACTACCCTTGTTTCCGGGCAGATGAGCGGCGGCATTGGCGAAGAGATTCTGGTAGTAGCTACTCAGTGGATTACCGCCCTGTTGTTGCTGCTGCTGTGAGTTGCCCAGTGGAAAGGTCAGACCGGAAAGTGAATCGCCGCCAGACAGAGTGGACCCATCCTCATGTGAGTTTCGATTGACAGGACCACCACTGCTCATCAGGTAGTTCGGTCCAATGTAGTTGGGTGCAATGTTCTCGAAGGTGGCACCGCCGCCCAGCTGCAGTGGTGGCAACATCGACTTTGCCTGCTTCCGCAGTGCTGCACTGCCAAAGAAGACATTAGAGTGCGTCTTTGGAAGGTGAAGATCACTTTCACCGGTGAGGACAGACGCCGTCGCCGCCGAGTGCTCGTCGACAGGCGCATCATAGGATGATCGACGAAGTGATGCCGCCAGGGATGGCGAGGATGCTGTCGATTGTTCAGCGATGCCTGATTGTTCTCGAACTGATGCTGAAGGCAATGCCGATGTTTGAGGCAG